AAACATTTAGGACTTGGGGAAAAGTTTTAAGCATGTTGTGGAAATTATTCTGGGAAACTGAAGCTTGTTTAGAGGTAGACCATTAAAATATAAAAATAAATGATCACTTCATTTCCCTTCTGGTCATGATCACAATCCTCTTTTACTTGGAATGACTGGGACCAGTAGAGAGCTGTTCCATGACTAACCAATTAATGCCTTGTGATAAGATCCTTCAAGGTTGCTGGAGACTCTGCTAGGATTCATTGAAGAGAATTTTGGCTAGTTCTCTCACTTCCACCTACTGAAAGTTAAACTAGCCAAGAATCTGCAAAGTGGCTAGATATTTAACAATCCTTCGTGGTCTCTGTGAATGCACACTAATGGTTTTTATCTGCCCTTGCGCAGAGGTTTCCGGAATATTCTAGAACTCTATTACGTGCTCACCAGGACCACCCCCCTAGTACACATGGTCCACCCATCCTGGCGATTGCCTCAGTTCCTTTTTGCCGCTGCTGAGGTTTCATCTTATGTCAAGCTTTTCATTCACCAACTGCTTTCATTTCTTTCTAAAAGTAAAAAAAACAGTAACTTATTTGTATATTTAACTAATTTGTAGTCAACATATTAACAAATATTTGTTATTTTTTGAGACATACACATTTGTCCATTATATTTGCATTTCTTAAAACACAGCACCTCCTTCTTCCTCTTAACTCTTCCTTGACTAGCAGAACCTTTGACTTTTCCATTCCTCAGATCCGCCTGCTCCACTTGTCCCTACTGAGCACCACTCGTCTCTCAGCCCACCATCCACTGTGGGCATCTATCACCACAGATTCTTGGCTACTCACCATCATCGCCACTGGATATGCAATAGAATTTGCTCTCACACCACCAACAACGATTGTTCTAACTGCACCATCAGAAATTTTGAAACAAGAGATAAAATCCCTTCTGCTGAAGGATGCTATAGCACCAATCAACCTCTCAGAACAAAATCCCGGATTCTTCTCCCATTACTTTACTGTCTCACAATGCAGTGGGGACCTGCACCCCATCCTTGATCTTCGGGAACTCAACTACTACATTATTCAAAAATGGTTTCATATAGTGACGTTAGAACAAATCCTACCAATCCTTCAAGAAAATGACTGGTATGCCGTCATCGACCTAAGTGACGCTTACTTTCATATTACCATCTGCCAATATCACCGCAGATTCCTCAGATTCTCTCTAGGACACACCATTTACAAATTCAAAGCCCTTCCATTCAGGCTCTCTACCACTCCACGGGTCTTCACCAAATGCATGGCTTCAGTGGCAGCTTACCTCTGCACTCAAGGAATATCCATTTTCCCTTACATTGACTATTGGTTGCTGGTATCCCCTTCGCATTCTCAGGCCCTAAAAGATATATAGGTGACCCTCTTTCTTCTTGCGGATCTGGGCCTGAGAGGCAATGAAGAAAAATCTATCCTGACTCCGGCACAAAGAGTTACTTACATAGGTGCCATTCTGGACTCTCAAAAAGCACAAGTTTTCTTACCTCAGGAACGAGCAGCAAAGCTCCATGCTGTTATCTGTCTCTTCCTATCTTATGCGCTGCTCACTGCACGTCAAGCTCAATGTCTACTAGGCCTTATCGCCTTCACCACATCAGTAATACAACATGCCAGACTAAAGATGTGTTCTTTGCAGGTGTAGTACCTCTCCCTCTTCGATCCAATGTCAGATCAACCTTGCAAGCTCCTGCAGGTTACACCCGAGCTATCAGCCCAACTTTTCTGGTGGGACACTGCAGCCAACCTTTTCATTGGCTGGCCATTCACACCACTACAGCTATCAACCCAAGTCACTACAGATGCCAGCCCCACTTGGTGGGGAGCACATTGCAATGGCCTACGCATGCATGCCCCTTGGTCTCAGGTTGAAAAAAACCCTTCACATCAACAATCTAGAACTACTAGCCACTTTCAAGGCTCTACACGCTTTCAAACCTCTCATCACTGGCACAGTCGTACAAGTAACTATGGATAATACAACAGAACTCTTCTACATAAACAAGCAGGGAGGCACCCACTCTCTTCCCTTGCTTTACCTTGCTGTCCAGCTATGGGAGTGGTGCCTAGAATGCCATATCTTTCCCATAGCAGTTCACATCACTTCACATGACAATCAGGTAGCAGATTTTCTAGCAGGAATCAAACACAAATGCACGAGTGGCTCCTAGACCAATTTGTCTTTCTTGATTTCTGTAAACTATGGAGACATCCACACATAGACATTTTTGCAACGTCCGAAAACTCAAAGTGCCCCCTCTACTGTTCCAGAACATCTCTAGGGGATGCACTTATGTTTCAGTGGACCGAACACCTGATCTACCTTTCCCCACCTATACTTCTCCTTCTCAGGGCAATCGTCAAACTCTGTCACAACCATTCAAATGTGATTCTCATTGCCCCATGGTGGCCTGGACAGCCCTGGTTTACCATGCTCCACTCCATCTCAACAAACTTCATATGCCTGCCTCCCATTCCTCACCTTCTTACTCAACACCAAGGAGGACCTATCATCTCGACCTCCACAACCTTCATCTCACAGCATGGAGGATTCACCTTCAATAACTGCCATCTTAGCCAACGCCCAGAAGCCTGCTACAACTCAGCTTTATTCTTATAAGTTGGCCGCTTTCCAGAAGTTTGCAACTCAAAGCAGTTTTCCAACCAAACTGACAACTCTCCAAGCAGTTCTTACATTCCTTTCTCGTCTGTTTCGACAACAGCTTTCCCTTTCCACCCTCAAGGTCTACATTTCTGTGATAGTCGCTGTCATGAGTTCAGCTGAAGATCTGGAACCTGAGGGGTTAACTGTAGCTGAGGAGATTGCTGAGCGATTAGAAGCACAGACAGCTGAATCGCCACCAGATTCTCCTCCCCCAGTAGCCAGGGTAAGGGTAGGCTTCCGCAAAGACTTATGACACAAAGGTCAGAGGATCGCCTGAATGCTGCCTGCAGAAACATCTAGTCAGCTAGCCCTGAGTTCTGGAAAAGGCTTCCAGCAGTTCAATGACTGTTTTGCTATATAATCAGCTCCCAGATAGCTGGGAAGCTCGTGGAAGCAACAAGTCAAATCTCTGGCTCGCATTCACGCTCCTGACTACCTTGAACCTTTTTTCCATGACCTTTGGCTTTGGACTCTAACCCCGGACTATGTTGTGTGATTTGGCTTTGGACTCTTTATCACACTGCACCTGCCTTGCAGAGGCTCTCGCGTTTCTTCTCAAACCATCTCCCGATGGATTGTTACAACTATATGGCTGGCATACCAACTTGCCCCAAAGTCTTTGCCTGTAGGCATTAAGGCTCATTCCACCAGAGCTATTGCTACCTCCACAGCTTTTCTTTGAGGAGTACCTCTCCTGGACGTTTGTAAGGCTGCTACCTGGGCAACTCCTACATTTGCCACTCACTATCGCCTGGATGTCAGGGCTAAGATGGATTCAGCATTTGGCAGGGCTGTACTCTCTTCTGTTCTTCCATGACATCCTTCCTCCAGTAAGCTAGCTTGTTAATCACCCTATATTATGCATTCACAGAGACCACTGAGAAAAAAAATGTTGCTTACCTGTAACTTTGGTTCTTCGAGTGGTTGTCTGTGAATTCACACTTCACGCCTTGTCCTCCCCTCTGTCCATCACATGTGTCTCACCCTTGATTCAGTGGTGTGCTGTTCCTAGGAACTGAGGAAATCACCAGGACAGGTTGGCCATGTGTATTAGGGGGCGATCCTGGCAAGCATGTAATAGAGCTCTAGGATATTCTGGAAAATCCTGCAGAAGCACAGATAAAACCCCATAGTGTGAATTCACAGATGACCACTCAAAGAACCAGAGTTATAGGTAAGGAACCTCTCTTCTCCAGAAGGAAGGTTGGAACTGGAATAATGGATAGCTAGCATTTAGATTGGTGGATTTTAAGGTTTAGAGTCAACATGCCCTTTAATTTTCAGTCCTGCTGAGTGGGGCTCTGCCTCTCTCTCACATTCCCCCCCACATCTCCCCCTACACACACTCAGAGTTCCATCATGACCAGAACCAAAGGGGTTGAATGTGATTTCTTCATGGAGGAGGAAGAAAGCTACGTGGAGGGAGGCAGAGTCATGTGTGCGCGGCTTAGAGAGAACCTTGGTTAGAGTCACTGTAGATGGAGGCAAGGAGGGAAGGATTGCCAGTAATTGCAACAATATCCTCAGCTGGCTTTCACCAACACTAGATAGGGCAGGCATAGATCTGATGCTCACTACCTGGTCTTGTCACTTTTGTTTCCTCCAATTATTTTTTCTCCATCCGTGAGAGTCAAAATTAGGAACTTCTAGTCCTCCAGATGACATTGAACTATAAATTCCATAGTCCCTGACAGTTTGCCTTGTTAACTGATATGCAAGGTGTTGTGTACTAACAATATCTGGACAGCCACTTCTATTCAGGAAAGAAGCTCGACACTCATATGTGAGAAACAAACTCAGCTTGGGGAATGTAGAAATCAGTGTGTGTGTGTGTGTGGGGGGGTTATAGTTTGGTCCTGAAGAGCTATTCTCCACAGAACCGAACTGTATGAAATGCAAGCTTTGCGACTGGAAGTGAAAGATCCTTAAGAGTAGAAGACATTTAGTTATCCTAGTACAACATGTACACAGCTTCCAACATGGCTACATAGCTTACCTTTGTTGGGTGGTTCAATCATCAGGAAGAAAACAATTGGCTTCCTACGTTAGTTGATTGTGGAAACAGCAGCTTTGAAAGAATGTGTCTCTGATGTGAGAACTTCTTATCATTTTCTAATTGTGAATCATCTTATACAGTTTGGCCCTCAGTTTTTCAAAGCAGAAGTAATTGTCTCCTATGTTTGCTCTTAGGAAAAGCATTCCAAAGGAAGCAGGACCATGTTCATGTTTGCAGTGTATGTGAGAAGGAGTAACTTCTTATTGTCTTAACCGATGATCTGGTCTTGTCTTTACAGCCATAGGGATTTAAAACCAGAAAATCTACTGCTGGATGAAAAGAACAATATCCGAATAGCAGACTTTGGGATGGCATCACTGCAAGTTGGGGACAGTTTGCTTGAAACAAGCTGTGGGTAAGTTACAAGTCCTAAAGTAATGATAGTGAGCCAACTAATACTTACAGTAGCCATCTTGGCTACTCCAAGCTCAAAGGCAGCAGGCCTCCCAAGATGAGAAGCAGTGTCAGGCGAGAGATAATGCTTGTGGGCTTCTGTTTCGCTTCTATGGGAAGCAGGTCAGGGCTCTTCTGACATCCAACATGCCTCTTCAGTTATGTTCAGTTATGTTCCTTATCAATGGAATAACTGAGCCCCCCCCCCTTATTTAGCTTCATGTTTTGTTAGTTACTTGTTATTTTTCTGGAAAGGAATAATACAGTGAGGGTGTTTGTGAGCAGTCCCTGCACCCCCTTCCATGACAACACAGAGAGCAGTTGCTGAAACAGACTCTTTATTGGAGCAAAAGAACTTTTAAAGGACCAACCGGGCCAAGAACATAAACTGATAACTCAGGGCACCAAGGAGTTAGCTTTACTCCCACTGATTCAGTACCTCTGCAGAGTATTTTGCTGCGTAGGGTGGAGCCCTGCCTGCCAGTCTAGGATAACCTGTGGGTGAGCCAAGCATAGGGTGCTGCAGCAAGGATGCCGGATGCATGCTGTCAGTTTTCCCTGAGGCAAGTGGCAAAGGTGCCTTTCCCTGCCACCCCTCCATAGTCTGTGCTGGCAGCTGCCATCCCATAGGCAGCTGTAATCCTCCCAAGAGGCATGGCCAAACTCTACCTGGACCTGGCTAGCTTCTCCATATACAGTAGTGAGGTGTAGGCATGGCCAAACTCTACCTGGACCTGGCTGGCTTCTCCATATAGTGAGGTGTGGAGCAGGGAGGAGCCAGAAGCTGACCTTCTGGGTAGGCATAGGCAGGTTGACCATGGGGTTTCTGCCATGGGGCTGCTTGCCCTCGCTGCTTCCCCTGCTCTCAGCAGGCTCAGCAATGTGCTCTTGAGCTCCTGTGCCTCTTGGTGCTTGGGAGACCTGGGCAGCTTCCTCTGGCAGCATGAGCAATTCGACCCGGCAACCAGTCTCAGGATCGTGGTGGCGTACTGTCTCCCGTCCAACCCTCGATTTCCCCGTTAGCAGCAGCACCTCCTGGGCCTCACACGATTCCTAGTCCACAGCATCCGTCCAACAATCTTCCTCTCCTGCTTTGCTCTCCTCCTTAAATCCAGGTCCTGCCATGGCCGCACTTGTGGCCTCAAGAATATCATCTGCCTCTCCCTTGCAATGTCCCAGTCTGCGGGTGAAATCCAGCACTTGCTCTCTGAGAGATGGAGAGACCACTCTCATAGCTGAGGGGGACTCTCTGGCCCCACATGGTTTCTCCTACAAACTGTTCTAGATTCCACAGCAGTGTGTATACAAACCTAGCTTGTCCCCTGATTTTATTCATGCCTTGTCTCTGCAATAAACAATGTGAGTCGTTAACAAGACTGACAATCTGAACTGTCTCGCCTTCCTATAACAATACCTTTCCCCCCCACACACTTTTTTTCCAGTCAGTAATTAAGCACAATGTTCTCAAGCTTAAGCACTGAGGTTTTAGAATGAAAACAACCTGGAAAGATTTTCATCAGAATATTTGTGGTTTTGGTGAAATAGCTTCTATGCTTTGCAGAGTTCCATTTGCAATGGGAGAAAATGGTATGCAGTAAATAAATGTATTTGCCAATGCAAACTTACATAAGGGGACTTCTAAAAATATAGGAAGCCAAGAATTGTTTACTGTTTCAGTACAATCTCTGGTTGTGTATATACAGTGTATATATACAGTGACTGAAAATGAAATATTACTCTTAAAAATCTTTACTTCTATGGGTATCTAAATATCCTCATCAGAAGCACCTAAAGTAGAAAACAGAGTTATTAAAATCTTGGTGGCTTTTAACTATGAGACTTTCTCTTTTGTTTAGAGTACTGTGGACATGCAATTGCAGGTTTCCCCAAGGAGTTTTAAGACTTCCTATTTATGAACATTCTTGTATGCTACCACCACCTACTGGCATTGAGGAGCAATAGCTGCCAGGCAGTATGCTTAAGCAGCATTTTTTGAGGAAAGGTATATTCATACACATTGAATTCTGGGAAGTAAGCCATTTGGTAAACATCAATGATATATATCTACATATTTAAAGACTTGTAATTTGTACTATAAATATTAAATTGGTTTTTGCACTTCAGGCGGATACATTTATGGAGATACATAGCGTGGAAAATGGCAGACGTTTCTAGAATCCATGTATCTATAGTACTTTTGCTTAATTGTATATTTATCCAAAACAACCATATATACATACACACAAACTCCCCCACATCTCTGTTTTAAGAAGTGTGCTTGGACAGACAAAAGATTATGAAAACAAAACAGTCTTATAAGTGCTATAAAAAGTCTTATAAGTGCTGTATTGCTGTTTCTGGTTTCTTTCTCTGTGTCTTTTAAGATCAATCAACATATCTTGTGGGCTATCGAAACAGCTAATTTTTTTTAAAAATACCAAAACTTGGAAAGATTTACATGAAAACACTAAACAAAATGTATGTTGGATGATAGAGGGCCTTTGACAACTACCTCAACATTTAAATTAGTTTAAAACCATGTGTGACAAAAGATGAGGCAATTCCTGCATGGATTACTTGAAAGAAAGAGAAAAGAGTAGTGGGTGGGCCAGATGGTGATCCCTGTTATGGAATAATTCTGACATGAACTATGTATTTTGCAAAATTACTGTTCAGACTTTTGATTTTCTTTACTATTAGACTGTTAAGTACCTTTGTATGTTAATTTTCTATAGAAAGGTTTTTAAAAATGCAGTAATCTGAAGTTTTAAATGAGAAAGCAGTTTCTCTGCAAACCATTGAAGGATCAGCAGAGGCAAGATCAGAGGAAGGGAAGATTGTCAGAGGTGGGACCAAAAGAAGGGAGGGAGGGAGTGCGGTGGGCTGGAATGTGACTCTCATTGCAATCAGTATAAATGATGAACTTTAGAATCGATCTGCAGCCCCTGTGTGAGCACTTGTTGCTATTTCAGACTTAATACAGCTGTGAATCAAATCACAGTAAAGCCGAACCATTATGAAAACAAAAGTGTTTTCATAAAAGTGTTTCCAGTGTAGTCACACCCTTAATTAAGAAAGTTACATTCCAGTTAGAAAAGACTAAACCTTAATTCTACTTTTATAGATAGGTGCCCTAGAAGGCACACAGGAGAAGAACAGCGTGTCTGCCCCGACAAAGTTCTTACTTGCAAAAAGAGACAAGAGAGAGAGATAAGTGGGTCTAGGAGTATCAGTCTAACAATAGGTATAGGAGTAAGTAGAGTTCAGAGAGTCAAAAGGGATAGATAAACCTCTCTGACCCCTATTTCCAAATCCCCCTTCTGGTCATTTGGGCTGGATACATGCTAAGAGGTGATTCTTGGAGGTTGCCAGGGCAACAGTTTTTATTTCTACTCGTATTCAAATACTTTCTTTTGCATGGGAGACAATACCTCTGTAGTGCTACAAAAATATTATTATTCCTATTCTTAAAAACTTCCCAATTTTAGATTTCCTTGAATGATCATTCATATTTCCAGAGAAGTGCTCAGCAGGTAATGCACCAGATGGTAGTCAGCCTTGTCTAGAATCTCAGTGGGCAAATATGCTGGTCTGTGGGCAATGCTGGAATTCAGACATCGATGCCTGGAGCAGGACAAGCCCCCATGTTGCTGCCTTAAAATGTGCTAATAAAGAAATCAATGGAACGGAAGAGGCGTGTGTGTAATAAACAGAACACAGCAACTCTGAAATCTCCTGCTTTGCAGATACATTATAAGTGCAATCACTAGGCTTCCATGTGAGCTATTATACCACTTCATTAATTCTCTTGGCATGTGGCCCAGCATGCCTGATGCTGGCTCCTTGTGAGATATCTGGTAAAGAGAAAGGAAGGAATGCACAATATCATGTCATACAGTTGCAAAAATGGGAGGGGGGAGAGGATGCAATGACAAGTAACTGTAACATTTTTCTTGTTGATGAATTCAGCAAGACATTTCCTGGCACCATCAACAAAAATTCTCACTTGCAAAAAGAAAAAGAAAAAGGTGCAATTGTGCAAAACAGCAATGGTTGCTTCTTTGTTTCATTGACTTAGAATTAGAAGCTTTCAATTGATAGTTTCCTTCTTTTTTTGAAAAAAAAAAAAGTCCATCATATTTTATGTGTTGCATATGGATGTTTTGCTTCAGTACAGAAAGGACAGTAGTGTTGACAGATTGTGTAAATTGCAGAGACCTTGATGGGAAAAAGCTCGTTGTTTTGTTCTTATGCTGGTTCTTGTGAACCTGGAAAATTCTGTACAGTATGTATGCATCTTACAATGTTGAATCAATCTGCATCAACAAGAATAAGTACTCTTCATATTCCTAGCATAGGGGAGACCACAGTCAGCATCAGAATGTTGAGTCATCTTGTTTTGAAGCCCTTGGTAAACCAGCTTCAGACGTTTTAATAGCATGATGCCTAGCTCAGAGCCAAGGATCTGAACAATTGTTTAAAAGTATATCATGAAAGCCATCAGATTTTACCAATTTCATTATCTTGCATGTTTAGAAGTTAAATTTCAACATTAAAAAAAAGCCCTGTGTTGAATAAGAATAACACTTGTGCTACTGATGGCCACAAAAGGAGTTTCCAGTTAACATTTTCTGCTGAACTGTAGGGATCAAATAGTGTTTGATGCTACATGAAGCAGACACTCTGTATTGGCGTTGCATGAAAGTTCAAGTATTGTGTTAAATACTCCTCTATACAGAGAAACCTACTCATCATAAGTCCATTTACAGAAGGCTGCACTAGGTGACTCACTTCTGGTTGGCTTTATATGGCCTTGAACATCACCTTTTCCCAACTACTTTCTTTTCTTTCCTTTTTTTAAAGAAATCCATCTTTTAGTTTTAGCATTTACTGGGAATTACTCATTAGATTAGCACAGATTGTTTGCTCTAGCACTGGAGAACACCCCTGGAGAAAATGACA